TTGTTTAGAAAAAGGTGAGGAAAAAAAACTCCCTGCACAAGGTATTGATTGCTTTTGAACTGCATTTAGCAATTTCAGTCTGAGGATGGAACAGAATGTTCTACAACTGTGATGCTCTGCTTGTTAGGGCTTTTCAATTTGATACGGCGGAAAACTGACCATCCTATTATACTGGCTGATAGACTGAATAGTTACAGAAAGCTGCCAAACTGTCAAAAATAGATCAGTGAGGCCATAATGGAAACAGCTGAAATATCAAGTTGTAACACACAACAGAAATCACACTTAGCAAAAAATAATCTTTTGGTTTGCTCACGTCCTAGCGCCTTTTCTCCCTCCTTGCTCCCGGATAGAAACAAATGCCGTAATACGAACCAGCATGTGTTCCAGTTTATTGCTTGCCACCTAAGGCATTAATGCACAACTAGGTTTATGTGTGTGCCACATTCCCAAATCAGGGCTCTATAATCTTCTCTTAAATGCACAATTATTCCATTCAGTCTTGAATGTCTTGAACATTTTGATGGAATAACACACTTCACTTATGTTGGGTTTTTAGCTCGAATGATAACACAAACATACAGAATGGGGAGAGAGTGAGTGAGTGAGTGAGTGAGAATGTCATGCAGTTACTGTTCATACTCACAGACTACTCAAGATACCTTATTTAAGTCCTAGAAGAGTCATTTATGATGGTCTTGGACTAATCAGCCCAACATTCCCCAATCCCCATGGGTCTGTATGATTTCTTTTTGATCTTCCTATACTATTCTAATGAGATTTTTAATTGAACGTTATGGGTTCCCTTTGAGGACTGCAGCCCTCACAATCAATCTAAACTGCAGTAAACTATTTGAAGTTTCTCTTCATAAAAAAAGGTGAGCCATCGCCACCATGTCCTTGGTGTAATTTAAAGCAAAGATGTTGCATCTCTTAGCTGCTGCCGGCACCTTTCCCACCTTTTCCCAAAGTTGAAGGTCAGTGTATAAATTATGTGAATCAACCCAACTACAAAAGGAGATCTGGAACACACACACACACACAAAATTAAGTGGGTAAGATCGCCAGAGTGAAAGCACAACACCTCTTTCATCTCTAGGGAAATATGAATATGAAAGTGCTGGAAATGCAGAGATTTGAAAACTCTGGTTCTTAGAAACGTGACACTTTCAGAGCTTTAGGAAGCCATGTTTAAAAGGGATCATATTTTATTATTTATCAGAGCAAATCCGACTGGGATAGACAACTGTAGAAATTGTAAATAGAGGCATGTGACGTGCACTAATTGAAATGCATTTTGTGAATAAAACCAGGTGCTCTGCAGCAGTTCAGTCATGTGAAAGCTTGCTAAAAATAACTACTCCAAAACAGTACAGTGATCTAGCAATCTTTCGGAAGGTATGGGCTCCAGTGTGTACAGACAACCCTCAGTTAACAAAGCCTCTGACAAAAAGCTCCTTTTTACAAAGTCTTTTTCTACCAGTCCATTTACTTGAACTGGGATTGTGGTGAAGGAATAAAGAAAACAATTTCTGGGTTACAACAGCAGACCTATAGTGAAAAGTGCAATAAAAATGTGCATGTGAATGGACCCAATCAGATCAAGAAAGCTTTACCATAAGTGAAGCTTTCTCTTCAGATCGTATAAATCTTTCGCCTTTTGAAAAATCCGGTCAGTATTTAACATAGTTAAATGGCATTTCATGAATCTACATTGACCACATAATGACAGTGTAGATGGGCTTGAATTTCTCCAGCCCACCTTCACCATGCTCTCGATGTTTATGATGTTGAATACTTTCCAGTTAGACAGAAGGTGAGGAAAAGACTGAAAAGGCATAAAAAGACTTTGGAAAAAGGAACTTTTAAATCAGAGGTTTGGATAAATTTTGAGACGCTTATAATCTGGGTATAGGATACATCTACATAACCTATATACTGTGTTTATAAAACTGTTGGGCTGGATCAAGAAATCTGGCTGTCTGCCTATCTGCCTATGATATTTTTTTAAAAGTTCATTAAAAAACTGAAAATATTACCAATTAGTTATAGGAAAGTTTGATCAGTCACCACAGAATAGCTTTGTGTGGTAAGTTTTCATTCACATAACGTTTTCATTCACATTGTGACTATATCTTGGCACAAATCTTGGCCTGGCCTTTTACATTTTTAAATTGCCTTGAACAGGCAGAATTACTTTTAATATATGTGTGTTATGGCAACAATTTTTATGCTTATATTGTTTTGTTAATCTTATGGTTATGTCGTTTTTACTTTGTATGTTTTGTGATGTTACCTGGGAACCGCTCTGAGTCCCCTTTGGGAGATAGAGCAGTATATAAATAAAGTTTTTAAAAATTATTATACGAAGAAAATTGTAAGTAGTGGCTCTGAAAATACTTCAAAGGTTAAAATGAAATTATCTCAAAGACGAAATTAAACTGGATGGCTCCATTTTTTGATGAAGAGAACTATCAACAGACCATTTAGATTCAGATATACCCAGGTTACACTGCAACATTATGGGACCACTGTACGCTTTATCACATACCTTCTGTTCTTGCTTCTTTATGTGTTAAATGAGAAGTATGGGGAAGTCAATATGTTTAATTATATAGCATTGAGGCTAGAAAGCAGACACAACAATGGGTCAATATGTTTTATATTCAGTATAACAGGTACGGGGAAACTTTCTAACTTGAGGCTGAATGGAGGGCCAGAGCGGGGTGGGCGGGCCAGGACTTTCTTTTCCTTCCCCTTCTCTTTCAGAGGCAGAAAGTGAAAGAAAGACTGGAAACATTTGGATCCCAAAAGGGTTAGCCTTGGTCAGGATGAGATGGTGGACAGGAGAGAAAAAAATGTATCCATTAGACTGCCTACTCCTGATGTAGAATTCTAAAATCCTAGAGCTGGAAGAGATCCCCAAGGACCATCCAGTCCAACCTCCTGCCATGCAGGAAGGCACAATCAAAGCACTCCCGACAGACAGCCTCTGTATAAAAGTCTCCAGAGAGGGAGACTCCACTACACTCTGAGGCAGCCTATGCGACTCTTCAACAGCTCTTACTCTCAGGAAGTTCTTCCTAGTCTTTTCAGTCAAATATCTTTCCCTGCCATTTGAAACCATTGCTCCCTTACACTCTGGTCTCTAGAACAGCAGAAAGTCAGTTTTCCCCCTCCCTCCTCCTCTTCAATGGGACACCCTTTTAAAACTTGAAACATGGTTCTCATGTTCCCTCTCTACCTTCTCTTCTCACAGCTAAATATCCCCAGGAAAGAAAAAGAGAAGGAAAGAAAGGGAGGAAGAGAAGGATAGGAGAAAGAAAGGGGGGAAGGGAAGGGAGGGAGGGAGGGAGGGAGAAGGAAGGAAGGAAAGACCAAATGAAGGAAGGAAGGGAAGAGAGAGGGAAGGAAGGAAGGAGGGAAGGAGGAGGGGGGAGAAAGAGAGAAGGAAGGAGGAAGGAAAGGAAAGGATAGTGAAAGAGAGGAGGGCCTGAGAAAGAGCCTAAGGGGCTGCATCTGGCCCCAGGGCCTGGGTTTTGCCCAAGCAAAATAATAGTAGAGAATGCCCATGGTACTTGGAGAGACATTTTACATATGTAATGGAATAGGAGATGGAGGGCAGCAAGAACACAACACATACATTTCTTTCCTGAAATATTGAAAAATATTTCACCAGCACATGCAATTAGTACTTCTTGAGGTTCTAGGACTAAACTCTACCTAAATTGGCCCACTTAAAGTGGTTTTGATGCCACCTGATCACCAGTGTCCTAAACCCCTCACCACTACACATCAGTAGGGAGGGAAAGTTCTAGTACTGAATGTGATTTGAGACTAAAGAAGAATTCTGGTTCAGATTAAAACCTGGCTATTTCTGCCTTTCTCTGGGCAACAGCGTGATGAATGATTTGGTGTCAATGATCCATTCACTTTATGATGTTAGTACACAATGATCAAAAGGTTGAAAGGGGTTCGCATCAACGATTCCACCAAAATGCTTTTAAACAAAGCAAAGATAATCCATGGTGTGCATGCTTCTAGGATTAAGGGGCTGAGTGTGTTTCATAAACAGAAACACACTATCAAATGCAAAACTGAAGCAGTTCTGGAAGGCCAGATGTCCTTTTCCCTCTCCCAGCCTTTAACAATGAAAACAAATCAGTAAGGTCATCCTAAGGCTTTGTGCCAGCACCTAGCTAACTTCACACTTACAACATAGGTCATAATCACAAATGTCAGCCAATTCTCATGCCAAGGTAATAATATGAAATTAAAAAAAATATTCGAAGCAATCATCTGACACATGTCAACCCTGGGGCAAAAGATGCTAAAGTATAATTATATCCCCAGGACTCTCCAAACTGAAAGGCCACACTCTACACTGCCTAAATTGGTGAGACTCCTAATCTTCTGTGGACCCATGCCACAGGAACAGAGAGAGAGTGATTTTCTGACTCACTGTGCAGAGGAATGAGGGACGTGCCTGGCACCCAAAATCCAGCACCAAATACACTGAAGATCCAAGACAAACTTGTTCCTTCAGGAATGCTAGTGGGATTTTGCCTTTTCACACTCTACGCGTCCATGTAGCCAGAGGAGGTTTCAAATTAGAGGAAGGAGAAATATGATGCTTCCAAACCTTTCGTACTATTTCGCCCCAGCAAGAGATTTCATCAATGAGTAGAGATTCTTAAAATCTCATTTAAAAAAAAAAAGGGGAGGGGGAAGAAGAGTAAAAGAAGGGAAATAAATTTGTATAGGTTGATGCATTAAAATAAATGCACTGCTTCTAGTTCAACTAAATGATGGGGGAATAAATCATATTTAAACTGGTTTATGCATTAATGCTGATTAAAAACACTTACTGACCTTATTACTCATAGCAAAGTACTTTTCACAGCAGATATATTTAATCTAATGGCATTTAGTGTGCAAAAGCTTTCTGTCTGGAACCGCCATCTTCCATCCACTTTATTTTAAAGTTGACATGGACTTACAGGATTTCTTCTCATTGCTCCTCCCACTGCTCTGGCAGCTTTGCTGTTGCCTGCCAGGTCTGCTAATTGCTTGTAAGAAACGGCCTCTCCAAATTTCACATCTCTCAACAAGGTCCACAACACTTCTCTGGTGAATGAAGCTGAAAGGAGGAGGAGGAGAGAAAAAAATGAAGAAGTAACACACTGCTCAGAAGCCAGGCTTCTTCTTTAACCTACCAAGATAAAAATAGTCAAGAAGACTGACATTTAAGCGAGGGTACAGACAGCAACATTTTCTCTTTCGAATTAGCACAGCAATCGGTTCTATTATTGTGTTCTATATTTAAATTCATGATTATTAGAGAGTGCGCTCCAAGTAATTGATCACTATTAAAAAGGCATTCAAGGCTTTGATTTTCCTATATTTTTAATTTGCTTCCAGTACAATTATCCTGTTAACGCATACAATGTGCTTTCCCATTAAATTGGCAGAGTATAAATTAGCATACAGTCAAATTAAAAAAAAAGGACTAGGGCGGGAGGGGGTGGTGGAAATAACTAGAAGAACTTATTTTATAAAGCTCTGGTATCTCCTAATTTCAAACTTCAGCCCTGGAGTCATCAGAGTGTATTATCCTGGCAAACTAAATACTTATAATTGTTAGCAAAGGCCTGCAAGCTATCGTTCAGCATTCTAGATACTAAAAAAAGAATAGAAAAAGCAAAGTAACGACCCTGAACATATGCCTTCGATTTTAATGGGAAACTTCCGTTAGAAACTGATTACCTGTCTATTTTCTTTCTAGTCACCTTTGATTTTCAAATGGTTGGTAATAATGCATAGATAGAAGCAAAAGAACCCAATTACTTTGCTGTAGGCTGCTAATAAGGCCCTCCCCTATGATGATGAAAAACTACATGTGGCCGACCAGATATAATTCAATTATACTAGCATACAAAGATTTATTTTTAAATTACACCAGCAGGACTAATGAGTCCAAACATCTGGGGAGGGGCAGAAGTTGCCTGCCCTTGGGTTTCAGAGAGAAAAAGGAAGCAAAAGCATAACTGAGATGCAGTATTTCTTCAAGCTGGAACATAGGAGATCACAGTTGTACCTACAATGTCTTTCTCTCACTTAGGAGGAAAATATGGGCATGCATGAAACATTACAGAGGTTATACAATTCATGTTCCTCAACTGGTAGCAACTTTAGGAAGGTTCATTCCACTTAGTTGTTGGAGTATTTAAACCATAGAGCAGTGCCAATAAAGTATGTTCCAGGAGAAAGGCCCATTTGATTGACTTTGCCCAAATGGCCTAGGGTGTATCAATTAAAAAGACGGCTACAATCTATTATTTGGTCTCCTCGATGGTGATAAACAGATGTAGGCAAAAGCATACCATAGGATGATGCAGATATAAAGGTTGCTCACCTGTAACCGTATTTCTTCGAGTGTCCATCCGTGAAATTCACACCTATGGGTTCTCCCTGCGCATGCGCAGCAATCCGGAACTTCTAGAATATTCAATGAATTTTTAAATGATTATTTTAATGAATAAACACAAGCCCCGCCCACTCTCCGCCCCCCCGGCATATAAGCCCTGGCGTGCGCCTGAGAGGTAGTTCCCATAGCGCCAAATAGATGGTAAAAAGAGGCATGACAGAGGGGAGGATGGGCGGGTTGTGTGAATTTCACGGATGGACACTCGAAGAAATACGGTTACAGGTGAGCAACCTTTATTTTTTCTTCGTGTCCTCCGTGAAATGCACACCTATGGGTGAATAGCAAGCTACTGACCTGGAGGTGGGTCATGCCACGCAGGAAAACAGTACGGCTCTGCCGAAGGCTGCATCCTTCTTGGCCAACACGTGATGCGAACGTGGATGGTGTAGACCACGTCGCTGCTCTACAGATTTGATCCAGCGGAACTCCACGCAAAAAAGCTTGGGAGGTGGAGAGTGATCTGGTTGAATGAGCCACCACGCGAGACGGTGGTTGCTTTCCTGCCAATTGGTAGGCTAGTCAGATCGTAGAGACGATCCAAGAGGCTATGCCCTGGGTGGAGACAGGGTGCCCCATCATGTCTTTCCTGTATTTTAAAAAGAGCTTTGGTGATTTTCTATGAGGAGATGTCCTATGCAAATAGAATGATATGGCTCTCTTAACGTCTAAGGAGTGGAGAGCCACCTCAAGTGGAGAAGATGGATTTGGGGAAAAAGCTGGTAGTATGATGCCCTGAGACATATGGAAGTGAGAGACTACCTTAGGTAAAAAAGTGACATCGGTACGCAGGACGACCTTGTCATCATGGAATCTCACATATGGTGGGTCCGATCTGAGGGCCGTGAGTTCACTGGTCCTTCTGGCAAAGGTGATGGCCACCAGGAATGCCGTTTTCCAAGAGAGGTGAGATATATCATTGGAGGCCATGGGTTCAAAGGGAGGCTTTGATAGCTGGGATAGCACTAGCTCTGGGCTCCATTGTGGGGGAGGGGGGGAGACAGGAGGGTGGACATTTTTATATCCTTTTAGAAACAATTGAACCAAATGATCTTGAAAAAGGGATGGCAAGCCACGTTTCCTTCTAAAGGATGATATAGCAGCTAGGTAGCACTTAACTGAAGAGAGGGAGAATCCTTTATTGGAAAGGTGAACCAGGAAGTCTAGCACCACAGGAACGGGTGCCGTGATGGGATTGTGTCCCACTGAGTTCGTGAATGTTGTGAATAATGACCACTTATAAGCATAAGATTTTGTAGTGGATGGTTTATGAGCAGCGAGGAGTATGCGTGATACCTCCTCTGATAGGTTTATTGTGGTCTGATCCTCCATGCTGTTAAGCGGAGGGAGGGGAAGTCTGGGTGGAGAACGAGCCCGTTTTCCACTGTGAGAAGGTCTGGTGAGGGATTCCCTGTTGGATATTTGCAGAAGTGTGGCAAACCAGTGTTGGCGCGGCCACCAGGGGGCGATCAGGATGCAATCCGCGTTGTCCTGAATTATTTTGGCTATGACTGGGGAGAGGGAGGGGTGGAAAAAGGTAAACGAGGTTCGGTGTCCATCGGAAGAGGAAGGCGTCTCCGAGACAACCTGGGGATGCGTGAGGGTGGAGTCTTGCGCAATATGTTGGGCAGTGAGTGTTCACTGGGGACGCGAATAGGTCTATTGTGGGCGTCCCCCATTTGTGTGTGATGATCTGGAATTGGGACATGTGGAGGTGCCATTCGTGGTTGTTCTTTGTTGTTCTGCTTAATGAGTCTGCCAGTATGTTGTCCTGGCCCGGTAGATGGATGGCCGTGAGGAGGATGTTTCTCTGAATGCACCATTCTCAGATGCGAGTTGAGATTGACGTCAGTGTTTGGGACCAAGTTCCCCCCTGTTTGTTGATGTAATATTTGACTGCAGTGTTGTCCGTTACTATTTGGACTATATGGTTGGAGGTAATGCGGGTGAAGGCTCGAAGGGCCTTCTCCACCGCCATCATTTCTAGTGCATTTATGTGGAAGTGGAGCTCTTGTGGGAGCCAGTGACCGCTGATTTTGAATCCCTTGAGATGTGCTCCCCAGCCTGAGTTGGAGGCATCTGTTGTCAGGGACATGGATGGATGTGGTTGTATGAATGGCATGCCCAGGCGAACATTGCGTGCTTTTGTCCACCATGTGAGGGAGTGTAGCACAACGCTTGGTGGGTGAAAGATTCGGGATTGTGGGTCGTGGAGGGGGTCGAAAGTTCTGATGAACCAGTTTTGCAGAGGCCTCATCCAAAGCCGAACGAAGGGGGTTACACTGGTGGTAGATGCCATGTGGCCAAGTATAGATTGGATAGCCCAGGCCGAGGCCTGTTGTGAGTTGATGAGGGAAAAAATAGCCTATTGAAGTTTCAAAAAGCGGTCCTCTGGGAGGAAGGCTCTTTGGAGTGTGGAATCTATGATGGCTCCTATGAATTGGATGCACTGTGTTGGTTGAAGATGCGATTTTTCGTGATTTACCACCAGGCCGAGATCCTGCAAAAGAGATAAGGTGTAATGAATATCTGTGTATAATTGAGACTTCGAAGTAGAGGCCAACATCCAGTCATCCAGGTATGGAAAAACTGTTATACCTTGCTGGCGAAGGTGTGAGGCTATGACCGCCATGCATTTTGTAAACACCCTTGGGGCAGTGGAAAGGCCAAATGGTAGAGAGTTAAACGAGAAGTGGTAATTTTGGACCGTGAAGGTGAGGAACCTTCAGTGAGAGTGTCTAATTGAGATGTGGAAGTATGCTTCCCGTAGGTCTACTGTTGCTAGCCATGCACCTTCGGGAATGAAGGGGAGTATGCTGGGAAGGGTGACCATATGAAACTTGCGTGGGGTGATGAAAGTGTTGAGTTTGCGGAGGTCCAAAATGGGCCGTAGTCCGCCATCTTTTTTGTCTATGAGAAAATAACAAGAATAGAAGCAGGTGTTGGATGTGTGTGAGGATATAGGAGAGATCGCTCCTTTAATGAGTAAGGAATGGATTTCATCCCATATGGTCTGGGAGGGTTGTGTGATGATGATTCTACCTACAGGTGGGTGATCATGAAACTCAATTGCATATCCTCTGTCAATTATATCGAGGACCCAAGCATCTGTGGTGATGGCTTGCCACTGTGGAAGGAATGAGTGTAATCTATTGAGGTAAGTGGGTTGTTGAGTGGGCGGGGGGGGAAGGGAGGGAGCGCTAAAAACGCCATCTGTTGTTGTTTGAAGGTCTGGTACCACGGTACTGACCTCTTGAGGGAAGCGAAGGGCGTCTTGTAGCTCCAGCGGGCGTATATGGCCGTTGTCGTCCCCTGTAGAATGAGGTGTTATAGGGTTTATTGTAGTATTGAGGGCGATAATAGTAGGAGCCCCAACGCTGTCGTTGATAAGTGTACGGTTGTTGGTCATATTTGTACACTGTCTGTTTCATCTCATGAGAGTGTTTCAGCTGTGAGTCAGTCTCAGGGTTGAAAAGGCCTGCTTCGTCCATAGGGAGGTCTTCAATAAGAGAGCGTTGTGATTGGGAGAGAATCGCAGCCCTAAGCCATGCGTGACGACGAAGGGCTACTGATCCTGCAATTAGTTTACCAGCAGTATCAGCTGTGTTTCTTGCCAAATCTTTTTGTAATTTGGCTAAGAGGATGGCTTCTTGTTG